AATTAACGTACTATAAATAATTGAAAACTGTTTGCATCCTATAGTTACTACAAAAAAAAAAAAAAAACAATGACTAGAAATTGTAATGAATAAAAATAAAAGCAAATTGCTACAAATTGAATAAGCCAATTCAAGTCTATTCTATGCTATACTTATTTGCTGTATGATTTATTTTTAGAATGTGAAATGGATCGTTAAAAATATACTGAAAAATCTGGTAAGTGAATCATTTTGACTTGTGACATTTATTTATATAATATATCATCTCTCATTCAGTAGACAAAGAAAATAGCTAAGTTAATTATTGACTAACGATTACTGAATTATGATATATATTAGCGATAAGATACTAACTATACTATATAAGATACTATATAAGCATTAGCGGCAATTGAACCATTTATCTTCATGATTATCACAAGTTTAATGTTTCTTAAGTATTCAGAATATTAAATATGGGAAGAGAAATGATAATTAAATACTATATATGTTTGATTATATATAATATAAAATTTTTTATATTTTTATATTGACGATGATTTATTAGACTAAACCACTATACAATTATAAAATAGACACACGGAATAGCCCTAAGCTTCTTATTATGCAATGTAAATATTAAATTAAGAAAACCCTATTAAGATATCCTGCTTTATGCAGTAGCATAAGAAGTATATGCATATGATTGTAGAATTTTTAAAATAGTTCCAACAACAAATAATCAAATCTGGATATCTTTTAGTCTAATCTGACGCACTCTTATGTATTTCAACATATTCTATATACTATAGCAAACGTATTTAGCATAAGGCAAAAACGTATTTTTATGTTGCTTCACTTCCCTTGAATTCAATATTCATGGGCGACTTTATGTTGAGCTCGAGCATTAAGTGTGTGTTGCCAAGGCTAGCTGAATCTATTTGTGTCACGTTGCCAAGTGTTGGACCATGCCCGAGCCAAGTTTTCAACACACTCACTCACACACACACGAACGCGCGGTTGTGCGAGCTGTTGCCAGTGGCCAAAACACACACACACACACGCGCTGAGCAGAGCCCCGGCGCACACAGGAAGGAAGGGAAGTTACGCCCCTCGCACACGTTGAATTATGAAAATTATAAACAAATTAGCCCACACAGCTTGGGATAATATAGTGTGGCTTTGTTGTTGCAGTTGCATAAATTAGCGCCCCTCAAGCCGTCAAGCAAACACCCTTACCGAATCTCCCTCATTCCTCTTCACACGCTTTACCATCTCTCACTGCTTGTAATCTGCGCTAAATCTGCTTGTAATAAGTTTAAAATAATTGGAGCAATGGGTATTAGCGGTGCTAGCAATGCGTTATAATAGCCCTTGGCCAACTAACTATTTGGTGCCAGTCAAGTCTGGTTGTGTAAGTGGCTTAAATTGTGATTCTGGACCATGGATTAGCATAACAAATGAGAAATTATGCTGGTGCCATAACAAATTAAGCACAGCGCAAGCAACGAATATTTCATTAATTTACCACGCATAATAATGAGCAATTTATATATATAGATCTCTTGTTTAACGAAATACTCGTATTATATAAATCTGAGAGAAATAAACGAATAAGAATTAAATTGAAATTCAACATAATTAATAACCAGTTATTAAAAATATATGTATATAAATTTATCTTTTGAAGAAATACTTTTTGGTATACAAATTGAAAACAAGGAAACAGAAATGAATTAAATTAAATTAAATTTTAATTGAAATTTTGCAATGACATAAAAAAAATTAATTTGTATTTAATATAATTCATATTAAATTCTTATTAAATTCAAAAATATATATATTTACTATTTGCATGTAAGATTAAGGAATTTAATTTCAAGCAGAACGAAGCTTATATGTATTTAATATTATTTTGTTTTTTAAATATAATATCGTTTCATAAAAAATGTTTTAAGAAACAAAATCATGTACATTTTTTATTGACACTGTTATGAATCTAAGCTTTAAAAACTAATTTTAAATTATATATTTAGATTTTTAAAATGTGTTTTATATTAGAATATATAAAAAAATATGTTTTATGAAAAACAATTCGATTTTAGCTAAAAACTTCAAATTAAATTATTACATAATTATGTATAAACAAAAATTTATAGTTATACATAATAAATAAACAATATATTTGAATTTGTACACTGTAAAAATCGATTTATTAAAGAGCTTACAAATTGTGATTTAATGCAGGAATGTTGACTGTTGCGATGTTTTTACAAATGTCATTTGCAGGGCATTGGGCATTGGGCATTGGGCAGCTGTCATACAGCCTAGTGCCCCGCCCACCTGGTGGCTGGCGGCCAGTCACGATCACGTACCTGTACTGGGGTGCAATCATATGCGTGTCTTGGGCAGCAGCGGCCATTTAACCAAATGTTGCATCAACCTGGTAATTAAAGCCATGCGCGACCGCAAATGTCAGTTAGCTGGCAGCAGCTAACAGCAGTCAGCAGGAGCCAAAGCGGAACAGGACTGGGTACAAGGACGTGCCAGCAGTTGCCAGCTTAGCTGTCCCCGCCGACCTGAACCAGCTCAACTAAACTCAAAACTCCAGCGATATATGTATGTATGTGTGTGTGTGTGTATGTGTGCTAGTTAACGCTGGTGTTGCCTGCCGCTGGGAGCTGCAGCTGCTGATTGCGCTACGTGGCCATAAACGGAACACGGCCCAAGCTGTGCCACGGCCCAGCAAAATGGCGACGCTCTCTGCTGCATTTCATTTACTTCAATGACAACGGCTATGGGAACGGCTACTGCGACTGCAGTAAGTGCAACTGCAGCTGAAATAGCATTGGCCATGGCCATGGCGATTGCAACTGCATTCCGCATTGTGCATTGTGAATTGTGAATTGTGCACGTCCATTGTGAATTCAGCATTGTGCGTGTGCATTAGCGAAGCACAGGACATTCAAAGAACG